ATATATATATATATATATATATATATATTTATTTAAATAAAATGTAGGTGCACTAACTTTCTCAAGTATATGAAATTTTGAAGTAAATTGTCGAATAGCAGTTATATGAAAAGTCAATGCTGGTACTAAATCAATACATATATCTTCAGTTTTATGTGGAATATTAAATATTACTGTAAATGCAGGCCCACTTTTTCTTATTTTAATGTGTGCAATAAGAAGAGGAGAATCATTTATTTTTAATTCAGACATATTCTTAAATTTTGGTAATTTATCAAGGACTTTATATATAATACTTTCAATCCAAGAACGAAATATATCTGGATTCACTATAGAAGGAGGAGTAACATATCTATGCAAACATCTAAAAATCATAACAATATTTTATATAAAGAAATAATAAAATTTATTATATTTTATGTTTAATAGCTATTCAAATTTTTACTTTTTTTCTTTATCTGTGAGATTTTTGTAAGTATAAGAATTATTATATGCTTCATCTTTAATGTTTATTTGAACATAACCTGGACGATTCTCTAAAATCTAAATAGAAAAGAAAACATACATTTATATAAAATTAAAAATAAAATAATAGTGGCTGCATTACAGTGTTACGGGCCACGTGAAAAGGGATGGAATGGATAATTTTCTATTTTCACCTACATATATTTTTAAAACGGAACATTTACGGTTTTCATATCCTTTCTTATTCTATTTTCTTATTTATAAGTTTTCCTATAGTGTATTACGTTCTCCTCGTCATATAGCCCTTAATATTATAGTGCTGCCATAATATTTATTTTAATGTAAAAAATTACAAATATTCTTACTTGTATATAATTATAATTAACAGGAAGTTTTAAAATAATATTTAAATCAAATTCATTTGGTTTCTCTATTTTTGTCAATTTATAAAAGCTACCACAATAAATATTCTTTTCATACATTTTTTCAAATAACGAATCATTTAATTTCATGTGTTCTATTAGTTTGTTAATTACCTATTAAATTAAATTATGATAGTATTATAGTATCATTATTACATTTTTCGAAATTTATTGCAGTCTTGTCGTGAATAATATAGTTTTTAGGAAAAAGCATACCAGGTCTAAGTACTTTTTAGTTTCCTTTTCGTCTTCCGTTTTTAATGTTATAAACATATGGTTTATTGTATTAAATATTGTATCATCAGAAAAAGCCTTTTCCATATTTTGTATCTATAAGTATGCACGACTAATAATACTTTAACATACAAAATTTTAGATATGTATAAAATTAAAATATTTAACACAATTACAAACCTTAAAAATAATATGCTAATGTATTCTTCGTGAACAGAGTAATATTAAAGCAAAGTACGATAAAAAGTTTTCTTCTATGTATACGTTTGATTAGTATAATTACTTCTTTTCGCACATTACTGAAACAAAACCATGAATCTTATGAAAGATGTATTTATGTAAGTACTACTTACTAAATAGTTATCTACCTTGGAGAATTTGTCGAAGTATACATATATTCCGAACGTTAAGATTTTAAATTGTCACAAAAGGAACCTTAAAAATTCCGATTCAAATGCATGAATTATCTTTCTAATCTTGTTCAGTTATTGCATACATATAATGTTTATAGGAAAAATAAATAAACAACGATCACAGGCTGACGTATGAACATGCATATATGTAGGGGATTATTTTGATTGGCGAATATAGGGAATAAAAGATGTTGTTTAATTCCAATATTTGTATTACAAGCTAAAGAGACTTAGGATTAAGGTACAAACTAAAAGATTAGACTCATAACGCAACTCACACTCGCACATCAACTCTTCGAACTCTGTAAAGAACTGTCACCGATTCAACTCTCTTTCAAACCTCATCTAGAACTCTCACTGACAGGACTGTGCCCTATTCTCACCGACTGTCCTAGGATAACCCTTGCACCCTCATTTAAACATTGCACTGTCTTCTTTCATACTCATTGCTTTCTTTTTCAATCACGTATTTCGCATAGCCTCTCGCTCTCGGTAGGGCACGTAGCCTAAACGCTCAGGCATTTTTCACTCTTCACTTGCATTCTATATAGTCATAAATATTTCGTTCATCCGATCCTTGCACGCGGTCACTCGTCCTTTCACGTACACTTCAGACGTCACTCTAAACATTCGACCTGAACCCTAGGTTACTGTTTATTGCCCGTCACCAGTTAGAGAATTCCAAATAACTTGGAGTTTGTTTTCGCCGTTGTGCTTACCTCATTTTAGAAGGTTAACAATTTGGAAATAGCAATTAGCAAGCTTAAATCAAGTACCAGAACAAATTTTCGTGTAACTGAAATGAAGAGTCAAAAAGTACATATTCGTCATGTAATGATTTTGGAATTTAAACAAGTCAATAGTGCTAAGGTGACAGCCGAAAAAATATGCAGTGTATACAGCGAAGGACTAATAACCGATTGAGTACTTAGAAATTGGTTTGTAAAATTCCGTTCTGGAGATATGAGCTTAAAAGACGAACCGAGGGCGGGTTTCTTCCAACTTTGACGACAATCTTTTAAAGGCAATATTGAAGCAAAATCCACATCAATCAACAAAAGGTATAGCAGAAAGAATGAATACATCACAATCAACCGTTATCCATCACCTGGAGAAATTAGAGAAAGTCGGTAAGTAAGGAGTATGGGTATCTCACAATCTCAGTGAATTGAAGCTAACATATTTCTTGCACAAAACTTGACTTTGGAAAAGATTTCTTCGATAGTGTTCATTACTGGACAATATGGTGGTAGAGAAAATAGATTGTGCCTTGTCTGAAATTCTTGTGTCTTGTACGCAATACATATGTACTTTAATGAATTGGTAATTACTTTTAAATAAATATCTAATATACTTCTTCTAGATAAAATTTTTAATTTCTTACTGGCTAATTTATATCTGATGTTTTTTTAAATAAGATATTTATATAGAAGTACTTGATCTGCAAAAGAGTAAATTTAAAGTGCAAAACCTGTATTGACGTTACTTCGTACGATATAGAAAATAATTAAAAATTGAATTATCTTTCACGTAATAGCAGAAACATTACATTTACATAGAATTATATATTTATAAAATATCGGGTGAACTTATGACTAAACATAAAAAATGTCTATTAATGTGTAATTCGTATGTATTACACATTTAACTGCTTTGAACTCAAAACTACATTACCCAGGTTTATATAAGCAAAACTGTGGAATGGTTTGAAAATTTGGTACCAGAATTTATTTAACTACATATCACTACACTGGCACTACAATGATCACTGCACGATATTCACTTCGTTATATTTCTAACGCAAAAGGATTAAGGGTGGGGAGTAATGTGTTCATATCACCACACATCAGCTATACAAATCAAGGCATGTTCACACCCATTGGATGTGACAGACCTAGTCCTTTCGTTCTTCGCATTAAGAAAATAAAGGAAAAGTTCTGCAGTTCTGCATATCTAGCAGCCCTGACCGTGACTACACTCATCCAATAATTAATGTATCGGCTCCCCTAGCATTGAGTTATTGTGTGTTTCTTTTCCTG